TCACTCTTGCAAGTCGCTTGGCACGGCATCGGAATGTCTGTACCTGTGTATCCTTCACGTTTCTCACCGGATGAGGATGTGTTTATGAATTACTGCCCGTGTGAACATCTTTGTGGAAAGGTGGTCTCTGCTTCCAGAGCTGATGAGATGCACAGATTACATTTGCTTGTCTGTGTTGGCTGAGGGCGACCCAGTGCCGGCGAATCCTCAGTGCTGCCTCGTCGTGTGCTCAGGGCCTTTGTGGGTCTCTCTCAGGTCGGAACGCTCAGACCAGCCTCTCCTCCTGCTGGGACGTGCTCTTAGGGCCTTTGTGGGTCTCTCCAGGTCACCAGCCTCTCCTCCTGTTAGGATGGTCGTGCTGGTCACTGTGGGGCCTGACAGGTCACTGGCTGAATGCACCCCTGGTGGAGGCCGTCAGCGTGCAGCTGGCCTGAGGAGCATTGTGTGCCCATGCTAGTGGGTTTGGTGTTGGGCTTTGCTCTGTCCTGTTTGCCTCGATGAGTTGAGGGCAGCCTCTGCACTGGTGTGCAGACCAGGCTGTCAGAGAGACTGACCTTTGGGAACATGGTCAGGAGAGGGGTGGAAAGGACTGAGCCAACACACATTTCAGCTTTGCCACAGGTGGGTTGAGTGACCATGACCTCAGTTCCCCATTTTTAGACGAGTACTCCTCTTGGACTAAACATAACCAGAGACTCGGATACCCTTGAATTGTGGTCATTGAAAGAGAACAGGACAGAAAAAAACCAAACTTCTGTCTTCAATGAAACGTAACCAGGATGTTCCCTGGAGGGAAGGATGATGAGGCGTTGTCTCATGGGCTGCACCAGTTGTCGAGAGACCCATCCTTTGATAAAGACACGCTGGGAAGGGTCGAGGGCCAAGGAAAGAGGGAGAGTCAGTCAGTAAGGTAGACGGCACAGTGACTTTACGACAGGCTTGAGCACATCCGAGATGTCAGGATGGCACAGGAGGGCCAAGTTCAAGTCTCTTGTTCAGAGGGTCAGCGAGTCGTCAACTTGCTGGCACCTCATAATGAGAAACTGAGATTTTTTTTTTAAGTGCTTAATGCTTTTAATAAGGTTTCAACAAAATAAAAAGTAGTAAAATTCTACATTTTTGCAAACACCATTTCACAGTCAAGGAAGATCAATACAACATTAAAAAAACCAAAAGAAATCTGGAAAATGCCCCACAAACAAGATGATAATTTCCCCCCCACAACTTTGGTTAGAAGTTTCTATGATATTTCTCTTCAAAAACACTGAGCAATGGAAAAGAAACTGAGATCTTGACTCAGGCCTCTGGTTCACTTTTTAAGATAGGATTTATATAGAAATATGAAGATGGATGGATGGATGGATGGATGGATGGATAGATGGTTTTTTCAGCCTGTACACGCACAGCAAAGCACCCCGCCTACACGTACTCGTCAGCGCTACTGATCCAGTATCATCTTCAGTTCTTCTCTGTCTCCTGCACTGTCCATTCCCATTAACAGACTCCCTGCCCCACAGGATCCTGTCAGACCTTCGAGGTCCGGCTGTCACTGGGTCCCAAGCATCAAGCTCCCAACTGACTTTTTTTTGCTAGTAAGCGAAACGATTGGTTTTAAGAAGATTTCAGGGGATTGTGTGATTTAAGGTATAAAGATTATCTCAAAGCAGTCGTCTCAGGATTCCCGATTCATTCTGAAGTGAGCTTGGTCCTTTCAGAGGACGGGCACTTTGTACCTGTGACCTTCGTCTAGGCCTTTGTGGGTGAGGGCGCTGTATGAAGGCACCAGGGGAGAGTGGGGGTCTGAGGGGCTGTTCCGTAACCCAGAATACAGCTGTCTCCTGTCCTGTGACCTGCGTGTAGCTCACTGATCTTAAGAGTTGGCATCTCTTGCTGGGGGGTGGCTTTTCAAGGGAGTGGACGTGGCCATTTGATGGTCAGGGCAGCTCTGGTGGTGCAGCCTCAGCTTATGCAGCGGTGGCACCTCTGGGGATTCGAATCCCCTCTGGCAACTCTAGGAGAGAAAGGTGGATGGTCTTCTCCGGTGGTCTTTTCTCTGTTTATAGCTGGGAGAGCCCTAAAGGAGGCCCAGCTGGGAGTTGGTTCTGAGCTGACAGAACTGAGTTTGGGTTTGTAGGAGCTCTTCCTGCTCTGTCCCTAATCTGTGCCAAGAACAAGGCCTTCAGAGAAGGCCAGGCTGCTTCAACTGGGTGTGGGGCCTGGCCCCTCCAACAGATGCTGGGGGCACCCCAAGGAGGCCAGGCTTCCCTCTGGTGTACAGATGCCTGGCTTCACTCCCCTCCCTCCTCTCTGCCTCTTTCCCCCTTCGCCCTCTCCTCCTCCTTCCTCTCTACAATTCTTGATTTAAAGGATGATGCCGGCCGCACCCCTAGGAGACACCCCTTGTGGTGACTCAGGGCTGGGACCTGAGGAAGCGTGTTGCAGCCCACCCTAATCCCCTTACAGCTGATTGGTTGACCACATCAGGGACACAATTACATCATCACGTTGCTGCCAGACCACTGAGAATCCTGGCCTGGCCAGCAGGACCCACATTTTGGAGGACACCCAGCTTGGTCTGTGACATCGTCCTTCTCAGGCATGGCTGATCCCTGTGGGTCAGCTTGCTGGGCAGTCAGCTCAGCAGTCTCGGTGTGGGAAGGCAGCTTGGCACCATGACTTGAGGTGTCATGTGGGCGGCCATCCAGGGACCCGCTTTCCCTCCTCCCTAGCCGAAGTCTGCATGGCCCAAGCAGCACAAGCCGATGGCTGCTCTGAAGTTCTTGTTTCTTGTCCTCGCCAAGTCCTCCCACCTGCCACTTGCTCATCCCGCTGGTTTCTCAGTCCTGAGACCTGAGCACAGGGCATTTCTTGGATGGCTAAAGCCAACTCTTGATGGATGCCGGAGAGCAGTCTCTGTCCCTGGTCCAGAGTGTCCAGAAGCAAGAAGCTGCAGGCTAGAACAGAGGAAGGACTAGTAATTGACTACATCTGAGACAACACTGGGAAATGATCCATTTTCTTTTTCTTTACAAAGTGGCCAAGTGCCAAGTCTTCTCGAGTTTTCCCCTGGCTGCCTTTCTATTTGAAGACAAGACTTCCAAAATCTTGGCTGTTGGGCCTTTTTACATTCTTAAAACCTAAAACCAGCAGAACACATTTAATACTGTAAAAGTTCCATAAACATTCTCTTGACAGACACTGCATGTGTGAAATTCCTACCTTGGGGGCAGTGGGCTTTTTTAAAGTGATGTTGAGACTCCAGGGCGTGACTTTGTAACAAGTGTTGGTTTGTGCAGGGAGTGGGGAAAGCTAGCATTCAAATGGTTGGGTCATTTTTCCCTGATAATGGGAATTGTCTCCATATTAGTTTGCCGGGCCCATGTCCTGCTGGTCCTGGTCCTAGGTCGCTGTTCCTGGCAGTTAAACACCTGCACAGGTGCCGTATCAGGGTGACCGTGCTCCAGGTATGTGATGTCAGCATCCAAGCTGCTCCGGGATCAGGCACATGCTCACTCTGACATGAACACCAGTGTTCGGGTTTAGTCTGCAGAGGAGAAGTTGGAGTGACCACCTCTTCCTGCCCAAGAACTCAGACCTTTCTGGGTGCACTTGTCAGTGCAGCCTGGACAGGTAGTTTTCTCTCTCTCTCTCTCTCTCTCTCTCTCTCTCTCTGTGTGACTTGTGTATGCATGTATGCACAGGCTTGTGTGGTTGAGGGTGGCATCGGAATCTTAGCAAGTGTATGTTGTTGTGTGTGCCTGTGAACACGTGTGCATTGAGAGGGAGAGGGAAGCGTCAGACTCCAGGTAGGAGTTGCTTTTGTGTGTGTTAGCGTGTGTATGTTGGGATATGCTTAATGGGGTCTGAGGGTGTTGAGGTGTGTATCTGGGGGTGTTAGGGTATGTATGTTGGTATGCTTGATGGGATGTGGGGGTGATGAGGTTTGTATTTGGGAGGGTGTTAGCGTGCGTATGTTGAGTTGTGTTTGGGGGGTTGGAGGATGTTGGGGTATTTATTTGGGGGTGTTGGATTGTGTTTGGGGTGTGCTCTTGGATTCTCCGCACCCTGGGCACTGGTGCTTGGTGCCGTGTCACTGGTGACACGTACTCATGGCCTCATCAGACTGATTGCTAAGGGGTGAGCTGGACAGCTGTTAGCCCTGCCTGTTCCAGGTCTGGTCCAGCCTCTTGATTCCCAGCGCACTCACATGTGGGCAGTTTTCCTTATCCCCTGCATGTGGTGGTGTCTGTGGCCTGTCTCTGCCACTGGCTTGCAGGAGAGCTGTGGTTCTTCCGTGGCGTGAATGAGGGTCTTGCCCTCCAGCCTAGACTAGAGCCCAGGGGTCCTCTCTCCAGTGTGCGTAAATGCTGGAACTCTGCCTTGTAGTAACTAATGAACTACACCTGCTCCCGCCAAGTTGCTTTCAGCTCAGACTCTCGGGGTAGAACTGTACCTTCGGTTTGCCAAGGCGGGCGGCCTGGTGGGAAGGCGTTGTCCTGTCAACCCCAAAGGCAGTGGAGTCTAATCCCCTAGTGGCTCCATGAGAGAAAAATGGGCAGTTTCCTCCTATGCAATTTACTGCCTCTGAAAACCTGCTGGGTGTTCATCTGGGCACTAGTTCAGACCTTACAACACCTAACAACAACAACAACAACAACAGTCTTTACAGAAGCAAATGGCCTCCCCTTACTGCTATTAGCCACTGACCTTTACATTAGTAAATGCATGCCCCCCTGCGCCACCACGGTGATTACCTGCCTGAAGGCCCCACAGTCAGTATCCAAGGACAGAACCTGGAAGGCACTGGTGAGCATCCCACAGTCGAGATTGTTAGGGGTGCGTCTGAGGGAGTTGGGGGCTTGGGGAACAGCTGCAGTGGGCAGCAGTTGTGAGCACAGGGCTGGGTCTTGGTTGGGGTCAGCTGCCTTGGACCCTGCCTAGGTGCCCTGCTAATCCTGCCCTTCTGTGGCCAAGGCAGTGGTTCATCCCCCTCTGCACACCTCGTGCACAGCCACCTCCTGGAGGTCGGTCGAGGCCGGGCTGTGGCGGTGCTGCTGCACTTGTATCAGCAGAGCTTCCATACCCAGAGAGACGAGGAGGAAAGGCCTGGCGATCACCTTCTGAAAGTCTGCCCATAAAAGCCGTGGGTCCCAGGGTCTCATCCACAGCCAGTCATGTGGCACAGGCAGAGGCAGTGCTGCCCTGTCAAACATGGGCACTCGTGTGCTGTGATTTGGGGCCAGCCTGACAGCCTGCAGCGTGCAGTCCAGAGGGTCTGTCTGTGTGGGGCTCCCTGGTGCATTGAGTACTACTGGTCCTTTGCTGTGATGTATGTTCATGTCCACTTTGCTCTGGGAAGAACACATTTGCCAAGTGATGTTGACTAGACCTGCCCAGGTGGGGGCTGTGGACCCTGGGAGACCTCCTCTCCGGCCAGCATCACCTGCAGGATCTCCAGCAGCTCAGCCCCCTCACAGATGCAGTGATTTTAATCAGTTAAGCCATTTCTGTGCCCCCTTGTATACTCCTGGACATTTCTTAGCAACGTGCGGCCAGGAGCATCTCCGCTGGTGGACCTGCAGGGCACTGTCCTGTTGTGATGTTGTCGTCTTCGGACATCTTTAGGTATCTGCTGAAACAAGTCTATTTGAATTTTTAGCTTTCTACAGTGCTGTCTTTTTTTCAGGACTTTGACTTTTGAGTGACAGTAGCCACTGGCTTTAAAGGTTCTGTGATTGTCTCTGAGCCTGTGGCTATTCTTAATCCACAAAACAGTTACAGCTCACATGTGGGGCACAGGCCCTGCTTGGCCTTCAGTGGCGTTCCACTTGCGCTGTGCAACCTTCTGGGGGCTGAGTTCTCCAGGTGGTCGAGCTTCATAGCAGGGAAGTACCTCAGAGATGGAGCAGAGGATGCGTGACGTGTGCCCACCTGAGATGGTCACCTGTTCTGTTTGTGCCCTCCGCTCTGTTTCAGCTGGTATGAATGATGGTGCAGGCATCTCCGGTCTCTTCTTTTTTTCCTCTTTTGTAAAAAGGGTAACTCCCTGAAGCTGGTGCATACAGTTCCTGATTTGGGGAAGCGAAGGGGTTTCTTTTTTATGTGTCCCTGACCATTTGATTGTCTACTCTGCTAAGCACCAAAATGGGCAAGTATTCAGCTCAGCTCATCGCTGTCAAGTCGGAACCTCCTCCTCACTGGTCCTCCCGAAACCTTCAGGCTCTAAATTGCTTGAGAGGAGATTGTCTGTTTTTCTTCCTTGAAGCTGCTGGTGAATTCAAACTGCCAAGAGAGATACACTCTTTGGGGTAGCAACAGAACTCTATGGATTACTGAAACAGCTCAGTTTTCTATCATTTGGGGAGCAGTCGCTGAGGCCTAGTGGTAAGGAGTTGCACTGCCAACATAACAGGCAAGTGATTCAGATCTGTCAGCTGCTCTGTAGGACCAAGATGGCAATCTCCTGTGTGACTTGCAGGCTCAGAAAACCCATGGGAAGGTCAGCTATGAGTTACTTCCAACTCAGTAGTTGTTTAATAATAGTAGTAGAGGGTGATGCCAGGCTGCTCCCTGGAGGCAAGGATTCTGAAGCTTCGTCTGACATAGTTTGGACATGTTGCAAGGAGGGACCAGTCCTTGGAGAAGGACACCATGCTTGGTAGGATGAAGGGACAGCCCAGGAGGGGAAGGCCCTCTGTGAGGTGGATTGATTCAGTGACTGGGGTAATCGGAATGGGTGTGTCAGAGATAGTAAGATTGGCAACAGAAAGCAGGTTTTAGGGCTGTTGTACATAGAGTCGCTGTGAGTCGCAAGTGACTCCATGGCACATAACAACAGCAGTAGTAGTAGTATGTTGGGAGCTCTGATGGCGTAGTGAGTCAGGAGTTGTGCTGCTAACCCAAAAGTCAAGGTTCGAATCCACAGCTGTTCTGCAGTAGAAGCATGGTCTGTGTCCTGTTGGATTTGCAGCCTCAGATGTAGTGAGTGAGTACAGTTGGGAGTGAGCTCCTTGACGTCATTGACTGCAGAGGCCACCTGACTCCTAGGTGATCACTACCATCAGCGAGACTCTGTTGCTGAAGTCGAAGCTGGTGCTTCTCAAGAGAGTTCGGGTCCTGCCTGGTGAACTAGAGGAGCACAGCTGAAGCTTTCCCTCAGACGGGGCCGGGTGGGCTTGTGAGGTACACAAAGCCTGTCATGGATCAGACCCTTTGGGAGGAGACGGTCCATTAAGAGGCTGGTTTCCCGGACTGGACCACGGTGACTGGGTAGCGGGCTGCTGTGTAGCTCATGCCTCTTTTCTCTTTGAATCCTGATGCAAAGACAGGTTGGAAAGGTGCTGTGGATTGGAAAAGGCTGGGTTGGCTGGAGCAGTTCATCTCCGGCAGCTACCTCTCCTTTCTTTGGGGGTTCTGGAAAGATTCCTTAGAACATGGACACTCCCGTTGCATAGCAACTTAAGCAATTCTGGCTGTTCCTCATGGGAAAGCCGCCTGGCCGCGCTGTCCGCCAGGTGTTTGCCTTTCCTGTCTCCCAGGGATGGGATCGCCGGCCTGCCTGCCCCTCCCTGTGGCTCAGGTTGGAGGAAGTGGACATCCATCTCCCCCTTGTCCTCCATGGAGTAGAATGGATGTGTCTGCTGCCTGATGCATCGCCTCGTTTCATATTGCATTTGCCAAGAAAGTGCAGTTTTATTGAACATTAGGATTGAATTCTTAACTGAGTAATCAATTTCAGCAGTAAGTTAAAACGCCTTCTATTAATGGACAACTGCAACTGTTAATCAGAGAGCTGGTAGATTAACAGTTGTCAGCATTTATGCTAATAGCGCTTATAAACCATAGGCTTATGAATCGTACTTCATTATTATGTATTTCTCCAAAGAGTGGGTAAGGCTTTCTGCTTGCAGGTACCTGCCCCTCTGTCCTGCTCACAGCTTGGGGATGGGAAGAATGCTCAGTGACATTCGCAAGGTGTCAACACGATAGCATCTTCTGGTTTTGCAAGCTTGGCTTCCTATCAAGGTGGATGGAAAGGTCCATTTGTCTTGGTGTGCTGCTGTTTAATTCGATCTGGTGTGTGACTAAAGCAAGATAAATAGTATTTTTAATGAAACCATTTAATAACCTCTGGTAGCTTGGAATCGAAGGCATTGGAAAAATGCAATTAAAGGATAGCTAGATGTAAACAACCAAAAAAAAAAAAAAGTCACGGCTTCAGCCTCGCTGACCCAATTAATTTTCCTTTCAGAGTTTCATCGCCTTAAATGGTTTTGAACCAATGACACTGTATACCCTCAAGCAGACGGACAGCTCTTCGTGTGAACTGTAGTTTGCGGACAGATTCATATTGGTGAGTTCTTATAAAATATCTCCAGGTAAAAGTTGTTTTCTGCAATCCCCTTCAGGATGTGTTTTGCATTTGCTCATGGTAGTAGCTTGTCGGAAGCCCCCCCAGGATGTTTCATTGGGGTGCCTGGTAGCAGGACCATATTGATTGCATTTCATTTATCAATAGCAAAATACATGTAATTAACTCTGAAGCAGTGTAGTTCTGTGTAAAGTGATTTTCTCTTTTTTTCTGCAATGATGTCTACGGGGCTATAGAGAAAAGTCAGCGGAAATGATCCTAGTAGGAACCTCAAGTTGGAATGGGAAGTTGTGTTATTTCTCAACATTTTAATTAAAAAGAATAAAAATGAGTCAGGAATAATCATATGCCACACCAGACTCATCATTTCCAAGTTCAAGTCAACTTAGAAGGCTTTGGGGAGAGAGGCACCTTGCCAATGACGATGTTATTGATCAGCTGTGACTGTAGTTAACTACCTGTAGGGTTTCTCAAAAGGAGCCCTGATGGTGTGGTCCATAGAGCCTTGCACTGCTGACTGAGAGGTACACATGGAAGTATCAAGGGGGCAGCTCTTCACCTGTAGTCAGGTTTTGGGGTCTCCAGTTCAGTTGCAACTTACTTTAGCTATTCTTGACAAAAGCTGTGTCTCCTCTGAGCCTCAGAATGGCACCTTTCCTGATAGCACTGATTTTCATCCTAATTTGGGGGGGGGGGTGTATGTGTGTGTCATGTCATCCCCCCCCCCATATGGTCATTTAGGACAAAGTGCAGGAGCTCATTCATTTATACAGTGACCTCGCTGTCATACTCCAGGAATGTTACCTGTCTTTTAACTTGGCTTTCATGTGGATGTCCAGGACCTTTCCCAGATTTTATGAGAGGACCTGGCTGGTGGCTCCGTGTGTGTTGACTCATCGGTGCAGCTGCGAGAGGGATGTTTTGAACCACCTTGGGTGAAATAGGAGGAAGTGTGTTTTCAAGTCTCAACCTTGTACACTCAGTTTGCTTTTAGGAATTGTGTCACACACCCGTTATCGTAAAGAAACTGCTCTTAGACCCCACGTGCTGGCTTTTGCCCTGGGTGACAAGGTGGGAGAGCGTCTGCATATGTTCATGTAAGACTTGGGTTGTGGGTGTTTGTTCCAGGGACAGTGGTAATGGAATGCCAGTCCTTGTGCCATCGTTTCTGTCCCAGGAACTAACAGTGACTGACATCTGAGCTCCTCCCACAGCAAGGATGCTGGTGTCTCTTCATCCTGCAGATCAAACTACAGAGGGTCTTGGGGTGTTCTGTGTGCCCTGAGTGTGGGCTCAGGAACCTAATTCCTCTAGGAATGCACTGTGCTAGTATGAAATGGATGTTTCAAACATCAGACGTGGTTGAATAATGGCATTTTCGTTTGGCTCATGGAGGACTTGGACTGGCTCCAGGAGCCTGTGTAGCAGTGATCTTGATCTCGAGAGAGCTCATTTCACAGCTTGTCCAGCTTCAGAGTGGAATTGCAACTCAACTCTTGATCACAACACTTTCCTGGGCACCGAGTGGGCTCAGTTCTACTGTGTTGTGGATGTTGTTTTGAACAAGAGTTTGTAATAGTTTGGAAGATCTGAAGAGGCTTCCTATAGCACTAGCAGTGCCTCGTAGCGTCGGCATACATGCCATGTTGACTTAGTGCTTGGGGCTGACCACTCAGTGCAGGGACACCCTGCCTCTGTTCTGTTACGCTTTGCCCCGTGACCACATGAGGTGCGGTTATCACATGTCTTATTAGCTGTGCACTTGCTGTTAGACTGTTCTCTGTAGAGCACCACTTAAGTTGTGCCCTACTCTGCATGGCATCACTCATTCACCTTATCATTGACTGAAACAAGAGGAGGGCTCTTGGACAGTAGCCCAAATCAAGATTGCCTCTTGGTTCCGGATGGAGAGAACGCTGGTCTAGACTCAATCTCAGTGTGGGTAGGGGAGAAGAAAACCCACAAAGCATGCAGCTCCAGGGAAAATACACACAAACCATGAGCCACAAGAACCACTTATACGTCATTTCTGCCCTCCTAGCGTTTTTATACCTGAGTTTGCCCTAATCAGAAAGCATTACATTCTTCTTGTACTAGACTTTATCTTTTAATGTGTTGTTTGTTTGCTTGTTTTAATTTCAAATCAAATATTTCAACTTCCTCTCTCATAAAAGAGCACATTTTGTCATTAATGAACAGCGACGTGCTAAATTTAGATAGTTGCGTTTTGTTCCTGCTTTTTACTCTCTGTTCTGTCTGTGGTGCTGGTTAGCGTGAAAGCTCTTCTCGCCATATGGTTTGCTGACTCCTCCTAGAAGTCGAGTTAGTTCTCTATCGGCTCAGCGGGATCATTGTTTTCCTTGTAGCGTTTTATTATTACAAGTTAATATTTGCAGCAGCACCCAATTATCTTGTAATTTTAACAGAGGTGTCAGGAAAAAATAAGCTCCTCTTTGTTAAATGTCTACAAATAAGTGGATGTGCAAGTCAGAGCCCTTAGCTGTTCTTATGTGACATGATGA